TTCATATGTCACATAATATCTAATTGGTCATTTCCTGGCATGTCTTTCCCCAAATACCATAATCTCTCAGTTGATTCTTTCATACGCAGTGATAATCACGTTGCCTGACACATGACAGGAGCCCAGGGAGTATTTGAGGAATTGGACTCAATAGTTGTCACACTATCGGCAAACTCCCATGTCTAGAAAGTATCCTTCTGTCACATCCCTCCTTCTGATCACCTGCCAATAAATGTGTCTTGAGCTTCTGGGGTCTAGGGGATATCTCTCTGAGTGAGAGTGGACTTGTCAGCTTTTACAGATATCTCCTTCATCCTCTCTGAGTGAAAATGTAAAGCCAGAAAAGAAAAGCAGTTGTCTAGGGGAGCTGTTAGCACTTTCAAATGCTATTTTTGAGTACATTCCCAAAAGGCCCTCAGTGTAGCCACGCCTTGATGGGAATTGCCCTTGATAGGCCATCCCCACTGAAGAAGGTTATCAGCCCAAAACAAAAATAAATGGCCAGCAGAGATTTTCTTTGGAGGACTTTGCTCACTCATATGCCATGCCTTTCCTAAAGCAATATGCATAAACAATTCTTTTGTCGAGGCTAATTTACTTTTATGCTTGGAAAAGTAGCAATAGAGACAGACGACCACAGTTTCCTTGTTTTGGCACAACTTCAGCTTTGAAATGTGTTTGTAATGGGCCTGCCACTGAAAACTCCACTCAAGAACCATTCTGGATTGGCAGAATGCTATTTCTTCTCAAGGCTTAAGTACTCAGGATAGAAAAATGGCCTTGTTTTCCCTTGCAGACTTCAGTTTTATGAGCCTCTTTTTATGATGTCATTAGGAACTGTCCAAGTTCTGGAAGAGGTGATCATTCTTTGAATTTTTCGATGTTCTACTTGCATAAGGCTTGGCACTGTGGGCCAGAGTGGTGATGTCTGTAACCACTAGGTCTTCTTCAAAGCTTCAAGGCTATGGGGTTGCAACATTCAATGTGCCTCAATGATGGATGTGATAAAAGGGATTGCAGTTGATAGTACAGTCTCTCATGTCTGAGTATCTAGAAAGAACACATTTCACAGACACTTTGGTTAGTCTCTGCATCCTCATGGCAACTGCAAAGCCAGCAGCTGGCAATAAAAATCAGAGATACCCCTTACCCCACTCTCCCAAGAATACCATGTACTTCACTGAAGTTTGGGCTCCAGTGTGGGAGGAAAAAGACAGGTCAGTGTAACAGCCTTCAGACTCATGGGATGTAAATTTTGCTGCTTGGCAGCCTTTAAGTGGCCTGAAAAGTTCCTATAACCCCTGAATTAAATTTCCTCATTCTTCCCCTCGCTTTCAAGAAGGACCATATTCAGAAGGAGATGAGGAAACAAATTGTGGCCACATTCAGTTATACAAGCCTTCTTAAATTCATGGTTACCTGTAATATTTTCCATAGTTAGGAAGAAAGAGCAGTGGCCCAATCTCAGTCAATTCAACCTGGTTGCAAACTGTTCCATTGGAGCCTCAGCCCAAGGGTCACTTCCTCTGGGAAGCTATCCATGTTTATCTTGGAAAGAGTTTGCAACTCATATACTTATAGTATGTGCCTTTATATTTCCTTATACATTTCTGTCCCCACTAGCTGGAAGTTCAAAAAGAAAAGATCTACATCCTTTAATCATTACCTCCCACCCAGTGCCTAATACTGTGCCTTACATTGTTGGTGGTAGTAAATGTATTCTGAGCGAATGGTGGCCCAGCAGCTAAATCCTTACACCCTGATCTTTTTCATAAAGGATGCACAAGTTTGGAGGCTCACAAGTATTTCATGATTGAGTCCAAGGAGATAATCAAGCCTACTGTGCAGGAGTTTTAAAGAAATAAGACTTGGAGGATTCTCTTGTTCCTTTCAAACCTGTCAACCCATCATCACATTCCAAAAGCAGTCTTCCTGCCTCTACATTCACATTCATCCAGTGTGTCTAGAAAGCACCATGCAGTGGCTGAGCTCAACCTTAAAGCACAAAGTGATTGTACCAAGAGGTTCCGAAAGACATTAGCATTCTAACACTTCTGGGTGCATTTCAGACGCCCATACTCATTTACATGGAAAAGCAGTATCTCAGTGTTCTTCCACAACTTAATTTATTCTCTTTCCATCTCCTTTCACAGCTGAATTTTAACTATATTTTTATTTAATACAGATATTTCAATAAGCCACCCATCCATTCACTCAATGCATATGTAATGAATCCTTATTATATGGCAATCATTGTACTAGATACCAAAGATTCAACAAGGGTATCAAGATAGGTGTGCTCCTACCTTTTGAATCAGTAGGAAAGACAGACATTAAATAGGTAAGTTTCACTAAGTTTCACAATTGATTCATTAATTATAGTAAATGTTACCAAGGAGGTAAACCACTTATTTTAAGCAAACCTAAGGAAGTAAAAATTTGAAGATGTAATTTAGAAGATGGGAAGATGGCTGAGAGTTACCCAAGCAGGTGGCAGAAAAGACAACAATGTTTATTTATGAAGGCTTCTGGTAGGAAGAACAATAGCACAAAGATATTCCCAAGCTGTGGGTAGAGGATTCACCATGTGTATTTGAATGAGTTTCTTAATTCAAGGAAGATATGCCCTTCTAGTTGTGGGTAGAGGGAGTTGCCAAAAGGAAAATAAGAGCATTTCAAGGAACTCAAATACAGGAGGAATAACTAGGTGGCCTAGTGCGTAAGGCATCAGACTGCTAACCAGAAGGCTGGTGGTTCAAACCCTCCAGCCACTCCTTGGAAGGAAGGTTGGGCAATCTACTGAGTTGGATCTAACTCTTTGGCAGTGTGTCTGGTTTTGTTTGGTATATATATGAAAGGAGTCTCTGGGTGGTACAAACAGTTAATGCACTCAGCTGCTAACAAAAAGGTTGAAGGTTTGAGTCTACCCAGAGGTACCTTGGAAGAAAGGCCTGGCAACCTATTTCCAAAATCTCGGCTGTTGAAAACTCTATGGAGCACAGTTTTACTCTTGATATACATGGGGTTCCCATGAGTCGGAGTCAACAGCAAATGGCAACTGGTTAACTGGTTACAGGAATTAGAAAACCAGTAAAAGTCAAAGCTTTTTTTCTGTAACTCTAGACAGCCTTCCTCTCTTTCCTCCCTTTCTTCTCCTTCCTCCCCTTCCTCTCTCTTTTCCTCCCCTCTATTCTCCCTCTCTCTCTCTACACACACACACACACACACACACATATATTGTCTAATTTTCTTTTTCTTTCTCAAATGTCTTCCTCTGTTTTCATCTGATCCAATATGGATTTAGGCCCTGAGTCTACATGAGCTTACTGGTTTACCTCCACCAACTAATTACAGTCTCGATGCTTGAGTTTAGTTCAGTTGCTTGAGAGAGTGAATCTAATTGATTTCTGGTCCGTTAATAGAACTTGTTGCTTGGGTTGTAGTCCAGTGCCCATGTACTAAATATCCCCCTCTTTTTTTTTTTTGCCACTCAAAATCATACCTTAGTTGCTTTCTGGGAAACCACTTCATCTTGCATGTGGTCCTGGTGGACATCTAAACCCAGCTATATGCATGTTATGTAACTGATGCTTAAGCAGTTCAGCACAGCATATTCCTAGCCATGGAAATTTGTTCAGCATATGTCTACATCCTAAGTCAGTTCAATTACATTTTGGATGAGAATTCTGGGAAAAAAAGAATTTCTTCCATGGAAATAAATACTTATTCTTCCTGTAGATAGTATAGTATATGATATTTTGAGGTCCAGGTCCTTAGCAGCCTTTTTGTGACTTTAAGAGAAGCCAGAGTGAGCATGGAACCAACCCAGAAAAACTAAAACCAAGATTTGGAGTAAGAACTCACTTGTTGCCACATAAATTGAGCCCTGGTTCTAGCCTTGCCTGAAGTTGGATCTACCTTGGGACATTTCCAGCCAATGAATTCCTTTGTTGTTTAAGGCAGCTTAAGTTGAAGTTTTCAATTACTTGCAATAAAAGTCAAACTGACTGCTCTCATCCTATAAATCAGAGAAGTGGGGAGGACAGGTTTATGTTTCATTGGATAATGATTGTTTGAGAAGGTGACAGGTCCAAGGTATAATCAAGGTATATGGGTAACTTAGAGATACAAAGAATATTTTGCAGTTACAAAGTTTATAAGCAAAGAAGGAAAAAAAAATAGAGGTCAGTTCTGATACTGAATTGTTTTATCTTCATTTCTAAAGAATTTTAATCACATTTTTATCACTTCATTAATTTTTTCAATTTTTCTTGAAAATCGTAACTATTCTTCTTAGAAATAGCCACAGGCTATGTTTGAAACATTTCAAATGAGCTCCTTTTGAATTATTCATGTGAGGAAAATCTCTGTAGATATCCAGAAATAGGGTGTCTTTATATCTCTGTAACTTAAAACAGATTTAAAGTGAATTTTATGAAAAAGAAAAATTGTTTGAACTGAAAACAGGTTTGAAAAATATCCCCTCATTTTTCTTTCTACAAATCAAATTTGCTAGAGAAAGGTGTGGGCAATATAGAACTATAATAAAACATTTGATGCTTTCTTACTGTAAATTTATATATGTTTCTTATCTGTTAGAAGGCAGGCAGCTGTCTACTCAACTAGGCTAAAGATTTTTCTTTTATAAAGCCACAACAAAACAAAAATCCAAACAGTTGCTATTAAGTTGATTCCAACTGATGGTGATCCCATGTGTTACAGAGTAGAACCATTCCATAGGGTTTTCTTGGCTATAATTTTTACAGAATCAGATTGCCAGGCCTTTCTTCCACAGGGCATCTGGATGGATTTGAATCATCAACCTTTAGGTTACTAGCCAAGTACAAACTGTTTGCACCACCCACAGACCTCAAATATCTAAGCAAATATCACTTCGAATAGATGCTGTCATAACTCTGGGCTGTGAGATAAAAACCTTTATAAATCAGGTCTTTCTTTACTCCTCTGTTTATACTTTCCTTTTCCTTTTCCTTTCCAAGGAACGCAAATTTCCCAAATTCGTTTCCAAAGAAATGGAAAACATGTACATTGAGGAGCTGAAGTCATCTGTCAACCTGCTCATGGCCAACTTGGAGAGCATGCCAGTTTCCAAAGGTGGAGAATTCAAGCTGCAGAAACTCAAACGCAGCCACAATGCTTCCATCATCGACATGGGAGAGGAGAGTGAGAACCAGCTCTCCAAGTCAGATGTCGTGCTGTCTTTCTCCTTGGAGGTAAAAAGCCCCAAAGCCTTGAAAGTTTCCTGGCACAAAAAGCAGGACATGGGTGATTAGATATATCACAATCAGCTTGTTTCCCCCCTTGAACCCCAGGAGCAAGCATTAAAATAACAGCTTGCTAAACATAGGTCATCTAATCAGTAAGTGATTCCCTGTCTCCAGGAGCCCAGACTTTTCTTGAGGAAATGCAATCTTAAGAACCACCTACTAAATTTAATTTTGTATTCTCAATGTGATTTTATTTTTTCCTTCTCTTATAGCAGTACTCAAGGATTTTATAAAGGCATTATATAATTTAGTGATTTTAAAATTTTGCAGTCTGCATTGCAGATGTGATAGAAGCCATCTAGCATCATTTTTGTGGCAAATTGTAAATTTTCTTTCCCATCATTTGTCTGGTGGCTACACAGTAGAGTCATTTGTTTGTGGACCTTTTTTCAGTTTACCTCGGTACTTCCAGTAAGAACCCATTTGGGCCAGTATGAAAGCAGAATTCTCAATAGGTAATAAATTTGTCTATAACGTCTACTCGTTGTGATTATTATACACATGGTCTAAAGCAGTAGTTTGATGTACATACATCAGAATTACCTGGGAAGCTAGTTAAGTATGCACATTCCTGGGTACCACCAAGGCCTACTGAACCAGGCTCTCTAGGGAGTGGGAATATAAACTGGTGCAGCCGCTTTGGAAAACTGTTTGACAGTTTCTCAAAAAGTTAAACATACAACTACCATGTGAACCAGCAACTCAACTCTTGAGTGTCTTAAGAGAAATGAAAGCACACAAAGGCTTGTTCGAAAATGTTTCTGGTAACATTATTCATGTTGTTGGTGTTAGCTGCTGTCAAGTTGGCCCCTGAGTCATGGTGACCCCATGCACAGTGGAATAAAATGCTGCCCAGCACTGGTCTGATAGAGACTGGTGGAACCCCTGAGACTGTGGCCCTTAGCCACCCTCTAGGCCTAGAGCAGAACTCACTCCCACAGTTCAACTTCATGCAAATTGTAGACAGACCTGTGAAGTGAACAGTAACACCAGGGAGGTAAGCACTCCTTGGAACAATCAACCATAAGAGATCAAAAGGGCAGTATTTGCCCAGGGACAAAGCTCAGAAGGCAGAAAAGAATAGAAAAGAAGGACAGAAAGAAATGGTAACCACAGGGAGGAGGTGGACGGGGTGCTATTATGTTGTGGGGTTTGTACTCAATGTTAGGAAACAAAATATGTATGAACTGTTGAATGAAAAACCAGTTTGTCCTATAAACTTCACAGAAATCACAATAAAAAGTTAAATGAAAAAATGCTTCCCGGGCCTGTGCCATCCCCATGATCAGTTGCAGATCAGACCATTGTGGTCCATAGGACTCTTACTGGCAAATTCTCAGAAGAATGCCAGGCTTTTTTTTTTTTTTCCTAGTCTGTCTTTGTCTGGAAGCTCTGCTGAAACTTGTTCAGCATCACAACAACATGCAAGCCTCTGCTGACAGATGGTAGGTGGTGGGTGCGCTTGAGGTACATTGGCCAGAAATGGACCCTTGTCTCCTTATGGAAGG